TGCTTTACTAAGCCCTAGATGTGATAGCTGCACCACTTAATCATAGAACTGCACCGAACCTCAACATTGAAGCCGGTGACTAACTTTTTGCTAGAGTACATGTCCCACCCATGTATTCACCCAGGCTTCGGTAATTTACCACCACAGCTTGACCTATGCACTTGGAGTCAGGGCTAATCATTGAACCCCTTATCTAACCAGTACCAATTATGCTGCCAAACCAAGTTCGTATCTCAAGCTACCTCTAAGAGTGCTGCCACTATCCAATCTGACAAGCCATAATCTTTCTAATTAGACCGTTATCTACTTCCGCCCTTGTATAGGTTTACAACAACTCTGGTACCTGCAATTAGACCATCTTCTTACGCGGATTCTTTATCGGTCCCTCCTTTACTTTCAGCCGGCAACTCGAAAAGGTTGGCCTGCCCAGACTTTAGGTGCCTGAAAGAATCCCCCCTCCTTGGTACATACTTTCAGAGCGTATGTCCTTTTCCTCCGGTGTGACATCCCGGCAGTTCAGCTGGTGTGTTCTCTGCCATTAGGACCTAGTCACTCGGTTCTCCGATCTCAGGCCCTAGTTCGAATTCAGCCCTCTTGTGATATCATCATAGATCACTACTACTCCTAACTCAGAACTTCCCAAATAGGTTTTCGGTTATGCCGGTTCCTCAGATTTATTGCACCATTGCTCCTATTACTAGATGGTGTGACCGAAGTTACAAATTAGATCCAACCGATAAGCATAGCCATTAACTAAACACAAGTCTAATTTTCAAAAATCATCGTCTGTGGAATTCGAACTCTAGACCTGCTACTTGGAGAGGGTGACGACTAGACCACTACACTAAGTCGCCACACCTCGTTACTTAGCTGAATTAACAATATGATTATGTTTAAAACAAATATTAACTTCCAAAGGATAGCTAGTATTTAAACACTAACGTTCTAATTGCAAATACAAGGTTGCTAGACAACCTGTATTTCTATTACATGCTGATTTCAAATTCTTTCTTTCAGGGTCACTTTGTTTTTTTCTAACAATCTGACTATAAATACAATGCCTTAATTCTCAGAAAATAACTTGTTTGCCCTTAACTCTATATCCCTTAGTTTGTGGCATTGTTGTTTTTAAGTGTTCTTCAAAAGTGGCAAAACATTCTTTTATGCCTTTCATGGTTAAAATATTAACAAATATATTGGCTTCAAATTGTTGTACTTCAAAATTCTCATAGGTATAATGTAGTGGCAATTTTATAAAAAATCTGGCAATAAATCTCAAAAAAAAATCTAAAACAAATATTTTTTATAATGTTACTATATTGTAAAAAAAAAAACTTTAATTGTCTTTTTAAATTTGATTTACCTCACAAGAATTTTCATTATTTATATAATTAGCAAGAGTTGTATTGTCTTGGTTTGCACTATAAGAATTAACATTTGATGCAGTATAGTCGATTTTTATTATAAGAATAAAAATACAAAAATTCAAAAATTTACAATGATTAAATAATAATTAATAAACAAAAAGCAAGTATAGCTTTACAGTAACTTACTTCAATGCCATTATTTTTTCCAATGCATTTATCTACTCCAATACTGTTATTTATTTCAATACTATTATTTACTTCAATGCCATTATCTACTTCAATGCTGTTATCTGCTCCAATGCTATTATCTACTTCAATGCCCTTATCTACTTTAATGCCATTATCTACTTCAATGCCTTTATCTACTTCAATGCTGGCTAGGGTATTTATTCACATTACATTATTTATCAACATATTGTTTATATGATTTAAAAATGTATCCCTTTTAAGTGTATAAGTTATAAATAAATTTTCTATATTATGTATAGAAGAATCTTCCATATTATATGTGAAAGAAGTTTTCATACTATATTATGTGTGAAAGAATCCTCTATATTATATATAAAAGAATCCTTCATATGATATATAAAAGAATTTTCTATATTAGTTGTGAAAATATTTTCCATATAATTTGTAAAAGTATTTTCTATATGATTTGCAAAAGAATTTGTATAATTTGTGAAAGTATCTCTTTTTCCGTAATATGCAAATATATTTTTATCATTCTCCAAATAATTGGTAAATGAAAAAGTCATGTTTTGTGAATACAAAAATTATTTCTGCTATTTTTAAATATAAAATAATATAAATTGTATGTAAGTTAATACAGTATATTAACAAAAAATTCCAGATCCATTAATTACTTATGTAAAATTAGTTTTTTTTTTACTTTTTATTTTTCTTTTTTTTTTTATTTAATTTTTTTATTTAATTTTTTTTCTTTTATTTAATTTTTAATTTTTGATTTTTGATAGCCTGATGTTTCTTAATAGTCGCAAGTTATATCCCATGTTTTAATGGTATTACATTCTATATACTTGAAAGCTCAAAGGATTGTATTTATTATTTTATGTATTTACTTTTTATTATTATGCTATACTCCACCTTTTTAACACCAAGCCTCTCCTTTTTTACTGCACTTTCTAATTACATACACATAATGATATTTCTTTATACTTGTCTTATTTAGAATAATGAAGCAAAGGTTCGATTTTCAAAATTGAACTTTATATTTATTTATTTATTTTTGTATGATTGCATTACTGATTATCAATCATATAGACTCAAATTAGACTCTAAATTACTAATAATAGTGATAGTTTGTTATTATTACAATTTGAGTTATATTAAGATTTGAATTATTATATATTACAATTTGAATCGAACTAACTTGGCCCAAGCACCAAGTATTTGTATAACCAATTATATACAGCTTTGCATGATTACATCATTATCATACTGTTACACAGTACTGATCGATATAACCTGACACAGAATAGATGGGTGCAAAGAACCCCGGACATCTCTTATTTGCACTTTAGCAAAAAGTCAAAAATTTGGCCTAAAGTCCAATTCTTAGTTTTAGCAAATTGATGATAATTTTAATAAAAGGTTATAATTTAGCATTTTGTCAAAATTACATCAATTTTATA